TCTCGAAGAATGTTGAGGCACAGGACGCCAACTGTGCCGTCGAATTGATTCATTTCGCTATCTTTAAGACAGTGTTGAGTAAACCCAAGAAAAGGAAGAGAGAGGACGAAGAGGGCGGCGATGAGGAAGAATCGGAAGAAGAGGAGATGGATGTGGACGAAGAGCCGGAGCCCAGAAGTCAACAGAAGAGAAGAGTGAAAAGAGAGCGCAAGACTGACGACCCGTACGAGTTTGATGAGGAGGAAGTGGAAGAGGAGGAGACACCACAACCTGTCAAACGCTCGCAATCGACCCCCGAATCGGCCGTCGCTTTGCCGAAGTTGAGTGACGATCGGCTCAAACAGTTTCGATCCTTTTTGTCCAAAGAGTTCCGTAAAGCAAACGCACAGTCAATGCCTGTCCAACAGATCTATGACTCGGCCCTCAAAGAGAAGGAACTGAACTTCACTCGAGAAGAGGTCGAGTCCGCACTCAATACTATGCAAAACGATTTCAACCAAATCTTCATCTCTAATGATATCATTATTTTAGTCTAAACTATGTTTTTAATCAACTTTTGATTTAATTAAATTTAATTTGCATTTAATCTTTTTATCAACACTTTTATTGAATACAAGAAAACATTGCAAATAATATTGTATTACTGATTATAATTTATTTTCTACGATTGTATTAATTATTAATCAATTTAATAAAAAGCACTTTAAATGATAAGCTCTATTATAATCTGAATTTAATAAATGTATTAATCAATGGTTTATTAGTTTTTCAAGGCATTCATTCAATTGGTTGAATACAATAGTGATTATTAAATATTAACTTAATCTTATTGTTGAAACCACTCTTTGTTAACATATCTTTTGAATATATATTTTCCATATATTCCAAGTCATCCTCTGAGCGCTTGTTTAAACATTTATTCGTTTGGTTATCAAAAAATACAAAACACAAAGCAATTCCCTATTTGTTTATGGCATACAATCGGCTCAACAATCAATGGTTTTTGTGAATTAAGTGTTACGCCTTTCGATAACAAACTCCGATATCAAACCAAATAATGGGCACAACTATTGCCACACAGTTATAGCAATATTCAAAAGTAATCATAAGTTACATAAGTGTATCTTCAATGAGGGTCGAGATGTCAATCGTGTAATACACGGGATATACCGGCAATGATTGGGAGGCAGAAACAAAAAGGTATAAATCGTAATCATTGAGCGCCGATCGCAGCGAAAGGGAGAGACGGACTGCGATATTCATACAGAAGTTCATTCACCAAAAAACAAGTTTACAATACAAACAACAAACACCAAAACCCACACAAAACAGACAGCCATTCAGATGTTGAATACAAATCAAATACATTAATAAACAAATTGATTGATTGATTAGTAAAATCTAATTTTAATTTATTACTTCATCACAACTGTTCTGTACATTCATTACAATCATAAGCGTTAAAAATATTGGTAAAGATAAAAATAAAATCCTATTTCTTGTGTCAATAAATAAAATGTTTTTTGTTTTTTGAGCATTAATTTTAAGTCTTTATAAATAAGTTATAGAAAATAAAAAACTTTTAATTCATTAGCGAATAATCCGCTGATTATTAGTATTAAAAAGCGTTTAAATTTTATGCATAAAAACTCTACAAATATATCATGATTTGTGAGTTACGTAAAAATGTTTTGTTTAGACAATACATGCTTTGGTTTAAGCGCTCTCCAGAGCGTCGGTTTTGAAGCCCTTTCCCGTCCATACGGTCTTCAACTGTTCGGGGATCGGGTGCTCCACCTGACAGACGGACACACAATCGTTACATTCAAACAATTCAACTAATAATCACTTACATAATCGCCAGTCTTGCTGTCGGGAACCGATATATTAATGCCTGAGCTCTTGGAGCTAATGATCTCGCATTGAAGCGACTCTTTAGCCAAATAAAGCTCAAAGTTGTCCACCTTATCGACGGTTATGGTGGGCACCACTCCCATAGCCTACACATAAGTTAATTCACAATTAATTGGCTGTTAATTCAAAGCCGCGGCAACCCATGACATACCTGTGCCTGAATTTTCTGACTGTTTATAAACTCAACGACAGACACAATGTTCTGGAAGACAATCGAGAACTTCTTCGAGAGATCGACTGTTATTGAGTTGACTTTTCCCTTAACAGTGAGGACACAGTCTTCGCATTTGTAGACATTAATCGATTGATTCATTTCGCAGTTCTCTATCACCAGATTTTTTTGTCCGATTTGGTTCTCAATCATCCATTTCTTGCCCTCCAATGCCATCTTCGGTGGAAGTCTTGCCGCAGGCTTTTGCGGGCCTAAGTTCGCCGGTTTTGCGGCCACCACTGGCTTATCGGGCACTACACCCGACGCCCGGAGCGATGGGTTTTTGTGCGTTTGCTGATCGGCCGAAATCTTCTTCAGACCTCTCGTCACGTCTTCGCCTTTATTAAGTGCGGCGAAGAGTGCGCTCCTGTCGTCACCCTTTCCCGGCTCGTCGAAGAAACCGGCCGGCGGTGGGGGCGGAGGTGGCAGTGGACCGCCCGCGGGTGCGGCCGACGCGCCATTTGACTGACCGGTGCCGGCGTCACCACCTCTGGGGTTCCACGAGAGGCCAGTCGTGTGGTATTGTTTGATATACGCCTGAAGACCGGTGAGAAACGAGAGCCACGCTTTGGCCCAATCGACGTGAGTCTTGTCCTTATCTTTATAGCCGACTAATACTTTATTGGTGTAGAACTGGGACGCGTCCACCATCTCCTTCACGTACGGCCCGGGAGTGGGACTCACTGTCACCCAACCCAACGCCGGTATCGACTCAGAGATGGCCGACAAATGGATGAAATGTTCGTGAGTTCTGTTTTTTTCGCGGAAGTCTTGTATTTGTTGGATCTGTTCGGACGTCGGCTTCAAGAGTGCGATGAGTGCCGCGTCGGCCGGTTTGCGGGACTTCGCCGCCAACACCAGGAACTGGCGCTGAATGGCCACCGCTTTGGACACCATATCCGCGTGAGTCTTAACGGCGCCACCGATTTTGGCCGAAAGACTCGCGTAATTGACAAACGTTTCGTTCAGAAGATCCTCGAAAGCGACCACAGATTGACTCATTTCTGGGCGTTATTTCAAAAAAACAATTCATTAGAAAATTAAATCAATTTATTATTGTTATTATTATTGTTATTATTATTATTATTATTATTACAAATGAATGGTAAATATTAAACACGTGTTTAAAAATAACAGTAATTAATGGCAACACATGTGTCGACCACTCCCTCAACCTTTCAATACAAACCGTTATTGAAAACAAAATAAACACTCAATTAAATGACAGATCAAAACAATTGGTATCAAAATAAAGGCATTTAAATGCCATTGAAATTAATTTTTAAAAATCAACACAAAGACAACTCAACACAAAAGAAATGTTACAAAAAGTGATTAAAATGATTGATAAGCCCTAAGACTGAGAGAAACAAAAGCCGACAAAACATAAAAACACGTAAAACTGTATTAAATGTCAAAAACAATAATTAATAATCAAATTAAATGTCAAAAGAAATGGCAATTATTGTATACAAACCTCCCATTGTATGCACCGTTTGGTTGTGTGGTTTTGGCCGACAATTGATAATAAATACAATTTAAATAAATAGGTGTTTAAAGTGTTGGCAAATGATTGTGTGATTACAAGCGTTGGGTGTTTTGAATTGTGTTAATACTAATAGTAATGCAATTGAAAGTCAATACAAAAAGCAAACACTGATTCACACGTCAAATATGGCGATCGCTTTCACACCGATTGCATCACAACTTCACTCCTATTAATAACGTCTCACTTCTCTCTCTCTCTTTCTCTCTCTTTTCAATAACTTTTGAAGTTTTGTATTTAAAACTTTGAAAAAACGTATTTCTCTATTGTTTTCACACATTTTCTTAAGACTTTAGCATTTATTTTAAGAATATTTTTTGTATACATATTTATTTATTTATATAATTAGTGAAAATTTATATATTTTCTCTAAATATCTGTAATTTATTGTACTTTCGTTTTCATCCATAATTTGAGGAACTTTTTACGTAACTTTCACTTAAAAACGATATTTTTAGTGACATTTAGAAATGTTATTGAATTTTAACTATAAATACAAGTGTTGTTACGTTTGTGTTGAAAAAGCACTTTATTTTCTTGTTATCTGAACTAATTATAGTTGTATTTTGTAAATATTGACTATTATTTCATTTCACATTCAAAGCCATTCATATCCGCACTTAAAACACACGTTTAAAAATACTTTTAATGTTTAATTAGATTATGAAAAGTGCGACAAAACTAACGTAAAAGTTATGATGCATTACATTAAAGGCAAGTTTAAAGGGCCTTATAGTTAGGCGCAAATAATTCATTCATATGCCGTTATATAACACATAGAAATGCCATTCAATTGAGGCTTAAAATGAGTTTTTGAACCAAAAGTGTAGTCTTTGAGCCCACTTTTGTTTCACTCGTTTATACGATAAATATTTTAAAAGTTATATTTATATTCAAATTATAATTTATTGCCCAAAAAGTTGTATTTTTGTTTGAGATAGCGATGAATGAAAGTTTTACTATTTATTCATACATTTGGTTTGGTTTAGGAGTAAAAATGTTAAGTAAAAGTTATATTACAAGTCATTTATACAGTACTAGAGATTTGAATGTCAGACGAGTTTATATTTTCATAAATAAATTTATTATTCAATAAAATGTTATAATAGTCTGATTTGCCTAAAGTATATTCTCTTGGAATTCATCCCATAATAATAATTGCTATTTATTTAACTTTTAATTATACTTAAGTTATACAATAATAATAATATAGTATATTTACAGACAATTATACAGTAGTGCATACATTAGTGTAAATTTATATAACTTATGCATCAAATTGTTTGCATTTAAATACAAAACATCAATCAGATTATGATTAAGCCTTCAAAATGTTGATGCATTAAATTAATGTGTGTTTCCATACAATTCTCAGCGAATTAATGAAATGAGCGGTTAATACATGAAATATCCGTTTTATATAATTAAATATAAAACTAAGGATTAATACAAAAATGTCAATTCAATGCATTATGTGATAGTTTGAGGTTTTTCTTTGTTAATCTATGATTTATGAGCCGACAATTGTGTCTTATTTTTGATTCCCATTTAAACGTTTGTCTCATAATATGTAAGAAAATTGTGAACAATTTTTTTTGCTCAAAAATTTTCTTTTTCTTTTCTCGCAAACAATTAACGGAGAAATAAGTGAATTAATGGATACGACAGAGACTTTTCGGGGATGAAAGCAAAAGAGAGAGAAAACTTTTTGAAGAAAATTGCCAAAAAGTTATAACATTTGTTAAGTTTATGTCAAGAGTTGGCACATATTTTTGTTCAAATGTTAAACATTATTGTGAATAATACTTGTCTCACAATAATAATAATAAAAGGCTTTAGAGTATTAGAGAATTCAATTGCATTTTTGCCTTTCATTTGAGTCCCAAAAAATGTTGGTCTTTAGCATCAAAAGACATTAGATTTGCTATAATTAATGCCATTTCATAATAATTACATTCCGGTGCGAAAATGGGCTCATCTTTAGGGGAATAAGTACTCAACTATCAGACAAAACCGTTATATTGTATAAAAGTGTATAAAACTCTTTGTTAAAAAAATTTCTGAATAAAATCTCGTCGAAAAGTTTGTGATTATTGTTTGCATTTTTGCGAAAAAATAAAACAAAATTTGAAAAAATCAATACAAAATAGTAATTAATATTTACTAAATTATAGTTACTGTTGAAAACCATTTAAACAATTGTTGGAAAACAGAGCTAAAGAGTTGGAGAGAAGAAAAAGTCATTTACAGGAAGAGAAATAGAGAGAAGGAATGAATTGATTTCTTTGAGAAAAACCAATATTTTTGTCATCATTTGTAGAAAAGATGAGTGAAAAGCCGATAATCATTGACTCGATTTGAGTTATAATCTATGATTTGTCATCAATTAAGTGTAATAAGTTATAACATTTGTTAAGTTTATGTCAAGAGTTGGCACATATTTTTGTTCAAATGTTAAACATTATTGTGAATAATACTTGTCTCACAATAATAATAATAAAAGGCTTTAGAGTATTAGAGAATTGAATTGCATTTTTGCCTTTCATTTAAGTCCCAAAAAATGTTGGTCTTTAGCGTCAAAAGACATTAGATTTGCTATAATTAATGCCATTTCATAATAATTACATTCCGGTGCGAAAATGGGCTCATCTTTAGGGGGAATAAGTACTCAACTATCAGACAAAACCGTTATATTGTATAAAAGTGTATAAAACTCTTTGTTTAAAAAGATTTCTGAATAAAAACTCTAAGAAAGTTTGTGATTATTGTTTGCATTTTTGCGAAAAAATATAACAAAATTTGAAAAAATCAATACAAGATAGCAATTAATATTTACTAAATTATAGTTACTGTTGAAAAGCATTTTAACAATTGTTGGAAAACAGAGTTAAAGAGTTGGAGAGAAGAAAAAGTCATTTACAGGAAGAGAAATGGAGAGAAAGAATGAATTGATTTCTTTGAGAAAAACCAATATTTTTGTCATCATTTGTAGAAAAGATGAGTGAAAAGCCGATAATCATTGACTCGATTTGAGTTATAATCTATGATTTGTCATCAATTAAGTGTAAAATTTATTACTCGTATATATATTTCGCTAAATATTTCTGTTATAACAGTAATGATAGAAATGAATACAAGAGAGAAGAAGAGACAGACATTACTGAAGAAAAAACCCTTTTATCTGTTTTGGCTCTCATTTAATGATTGTGATTTATAAAAAAAAATCTAATGATTTTAATCTGCAATGGAATTAATGGCAAACAACTTATGTCTTGTATTACTCGAAATGAATTCAAATTAAACCAGAATTTAGAGCAGAAAATGTTAAACAAAACTAGAAATTAATGTCCTTTTAGTTTAGGGAAGAGACGGGTGAGTGTCTTGAATGACAAAATAATGATACCATTCCTCTAATTATGTGATCACACATTCAGATTGACTCTTATTTTTTGCTACTAATCTGTTGTAATGTTTTATATATTTATATTTATGACATAATGTTAGCGCACAAAAAACATTGCCTTTAACACTAACACTACTCGTTGCCCTCTCTCTCTCTCTCTCTCTCTCTAATACAGAATTATTTTGGGAACGAATGGATGGCTTCATAAATCTTGCGCTTATCTATCACTAAAAACATCACTATAT